CTTTTGCATTTATTCAGACCTGCTCTATGAACTAGAATGTGGTCTATCTTGGAGAATGACCCATGTGCAGCTGAAAAGAATATATATTCTGATTTTGTGGGGTGGAATACTCTATAGACGTCTATTAAGTCCATGTGTTCCAAAGCTTAGTTCAGTTCTAGTATTTCATTGTTGATTTTCTGCCTAGATTATCTATCTGTTTGTGATAATGGGGTATTTAAATCCCCCACTAAAATTATATTAGTGCTTATTTGGTTTTTCATGTTACTTAATATTTGTTTTATATAGTTGGGAGCATTAATATTTGGTGCATATATGCTTATGATTGTCATGTCTTCTGCTTGAGCTGTCCCCTTTACAAGGATGTAGTGGCCTTCTTTGTATCTCTTAGTGAGTTTTGGTTTTAAATTTACTTTATCTGTGAATAAGATTGTTACCCCTGCTTTTTTCTGGGCTCCTGCTGCATGGAGAATTGTTTATAATCCTTTCATTTTCTGTCTATGGACTTCTTTTTGCACTAGGTGTGTTTCTTGTATACAACATATTATTGGATTTGGCTTCTTAATCCATTCTGCCAGTTCATTTCTCTTGATTGGTGAATTGAGGCCATTGACATTGATTGTAATAACTGATAGGTTCTGACTTATTATTGTCATGTTATGGTCCTTTGTTGACTCTTTTTACTCTTCCCCCTCTCCTTTTAGTTTCTTGCCTTGCCTATTTGATTTGCTCTGTTGGGCCTCATGGGCATTGTGACCTTCATTGTCCTTTTCTAGGATATTGTTTAGAATTCCTTGTAGTACTGGTTTGGTGTTCACGAAGTTCCTCAGGTGCTCTTTGTCATGGAAGTATCTTATTTCCCCATCCATTTTGAAAGAGAGTTTCACAGGATACATCAGTCTAGTTTGGAGGTTGTTTTCTTTTAAGACTTGAAATACCTCCCTCCAGCCTCTCCTTACCCTGAGGGTTTGTGTTGAAAAGTCTGCTGTGATTCTGATGGGCTTTCCTTTGCACGTGATTTGTTTCATTTCTCTTACTGCTTGTAGTATTTTGTTCTTCTGTTGGATTTCTGGGATCTTGATTATTATATGTCTAGATGGCTAGTTGGAATTCTATATGCCTCACTTATCTGTATGTCTAATTCTTCCCTTCTGTTTGGGAAGTTTTCTGTCATTAATTCTGTGAACAGCTTTTTAAAGTCATTTGTATTTTCTCCTGCTACTTCATGGATTCCTATCAGGCTTATGTTATTCTTTTTTGCATCATCTAGAAGTTGTTGAATCACTTTCTCATGATCCCTTACTGTTTTTAAGAGATCTCTCTTTTCGTGGTCACTGACTGCAATCCTATCTTCTATATCTGAAATTCTATCTTTGCAATCTTTTATTCTGTTGTGTACACTTTCAATAGAGTTTTTAATCTCCTGGATATCTGTTTGAATCTGTTTTATGGATTCCATTTCTTTCCTATGTTGGGCATTCATTGTTTCCATTTCTTTCTTCTTCTGGGCTTTCATGGCTTCTATCATGATCCTGAGCTCATCTATTTTTTTCTCAGTTTCTGTTCTAGAGTCTCGAATCATGACTTCCACTTTGCTCATCATCTCTATGGTTAGCTGGGAAATTATTTCTGTTTTGAATTTTTCTAGAGCCTGATTTATCTGTTTTGTTACTTCCTGTGCTATGGGTTCAGGGTGTCCTGCTGGTTCACTATCAGACTTTTCATCTTCATTTGCCCTACTGTTTGCTATTGGTGAATTGGAAGTCTGTCTTTGTGTCTTGCTTAAGTGTTTTCTCTTTTGTTGTTGTTGTTGTTGTTGTTGGGTCGTCCTTGGTTTAATTCCTGGGTTATTACTTAAATCTTTCTGATATAGTTGCGTTTTAGCTTTCGAGTCTTTAATGCCTCATAGATATTCTCATTTTCATAATACCAGAGAAAACAACTCATTAAATCAATCACAATCCTTTATCCCAATTGAAATATTCAGCAGCACAATAGGATCAAGCACAGCTTGCAAATTGACCACTTGTGGTAGTCATTAATCTATCACCTTTAAACCATGTGAATTAAATTAAAATCAAGAAGCAGCCCAAAATATGTTTGCAGTAGATACGCTTTTCAATATAGCATCTTTACCATATAGGATGGGTGCTTAGACAGAGTTGGGACAAGAGGAGTAGATGAGTGAAAGTATTGGAGGAGATTTCAAGTGAAGCCAGAGGACATAGAATGACCATACACTCTTTATGAAACTATTGACTACAAAAGGGACAGACAGAGTGCAAGAGTAAGGACAAGAATATATCCCTTTAACAGTAACAGGGGCTTGCTTTCCCTTGAAACTACTGACCAATGAGTGAGGTAAAATGACAGAAGAAAAGAAAATAAAGAAAAAAGAAAAAATGATAAAAGAAGAAGTCTGAATCAGGATAGGAGCAGGAATAGAAAGGGAAATGAGAGATAATACAGTGGAGCAAGAGACTGAGTTGGAGAAAGAGGACAGAAAAAAGAAAGAAATTACAGGGTGGAATGAGGAAAATAAAGAAAAAAAGAGTTTGAAGCACCTCTTTCAGACTATGTCTCTGCTGTCATAATATACCATGTGTACAGCCATGTGCAGAACCAAGTCACCTAATCTCAGCTAGCTGATGGCAGATCCCCACGTGTCAGAGTGACCTCAGGCCACAAGGCCTAAATTGAGTTCCCTGACCTGCAGGGCTGAACTCCACACAGTTCTATTACAGGTTTCCCTCACCCTCTCTTTAAAGATGTTCAAAGTTGGGAGCTCAGAAAAATACCCTTTATGACCGACCACCTATGCCTCTGCAGAATGGGTCCAAGGACTGGCCCAATTAGGACGTCTGAGAGCATGGGGGTGTTGTGGGGGTGTCATGGGCGTGTTTCAAGGGTGCCTGTGCAGCTGCCTTCCTCTCTGGGGCTGGTGGCAGAGCAGGCAGGTGATGCCACGGATCCACCAAATTGCTGTGTTATTTTTGAAATGATTTGTTATATTATGTTTACAAGCATCAAGTATTTTTGCATCTATATATTGAGCCTATTGGCTTGTAGTTTTTCTTGTTGTTGCACCTTTTTACTGCTTTAGTATTTGTGCAATGCTCACTTCATGGAATGAACTAGGCAGTTGTTCTTCACTTTCAGCTTTGTGGAAGAGTTTGAGAAGTACTGTCATATTCATTCTGAATTACTAATATAACTCAATGGTGAAACCATTAGTTTCTGGGCTTTTCTTGGTTTTAGGGTCTTTAGTAATGCTTCAATTTCATTGTTATTGGTCAATTCTGAGTTTTTATATCTTCTAAGTTGCAAGGTTTCTTGTTGGGCAATTTTGAAGTCAAAACTGTGGACAGAGGAGAAATCAAACTTGCTCAAACATGCATGTGAAATGAACTAATAAATTCTTGAGATAAAATATCTTTCACATCTAGGGATGAAGGGACATCAAATGAGTTGTGATTTCAGATCTGCATCTCTTCCAAGGATAGGGAAATACTAGAGGCCAATCAACAGGGTTACATAGCCAAAGAAAGATCTAATTTCTGACTTGGACTTAGGAGTATCCTCTTAAGGTAAATGATCCAGATTCTCAGGCTACAACCCCAAAACAAGTGAGGGAAATTCTGCATAAAAAAGCCAAGGTGCCCTAGGGAGAGTAGAATTCCTGACATAACTGTGCAAAGTCTCATCACACCTTCAACCCATCTCTCATTCCTGGCTCTGTCCTCAGAATCTATAACTAAGGAAACACACGGGAGGCCCAGGAATAATTTTCAGCATGGCAGTTATACCATGTTTTGTTTTCTTTTGTTTTTTGGAAGACTTTTCCTCAGATGCCTGTTAGATGTTCTGGGTGCACTTGGAGAGTGATTATGTCTCATGCCATGCCTTAGAAGCATGGGGGTGGAAAACATAATACTTAACAAAGGTGGAAAGCACCATGGGTCTCCAGAGGAGAAAGGTCCCAGAGGAAGGGAGAAACAGCACATAGAAGTTTACTGCCACTATTTTCCTGATGGTGATAAATTGATCTTCACTGATCACATGACAGGGATCACTCCCAGGAGGATTTGTTTATATTATCCCTACTTCATCTGGCAAACACAGAGATCTTCACTCTATTTCTATTCCTCTACTTCTTGATAGTTATGACAGCTCCAACCACTTCTGTCTATTCTTCAGGAAAATCATCAATGTCAGAACAAATTCAGATTTGGATTGCTTCTTGTCCATGATGAAAGATGAAGTGATACTTAGAGAAGAAAGTAAGCATATTAGAGCTTAAAAAAATCATGGCCCTCTAAATTAGACTGTCTTCTATCTTGGTTGATATATATGGTATATAGCCAATAATCCCCAAGATTACTTCAGCCCTAGGCCAAGACCTTTCTATACATCACCTTATTCAAGACCTTAATGAAAAAACCTTTTGGTGGAAATGTATCTATTTTGCAGTTGGAAAAACTGGAAAGTAGTTTACATAATTGAATGCTCAAGGATTCTACAGTTGGTGAAGCATAGCCTATAACTCAAACCCTAGATTTCTTTCTCTACATCCATTGCTTTTCTCCTTTACTTTAACTGTCTATAACTCCTTATAAATGGAAATTTTCTACTGCACTGGGAAAAACTGGGACAGGTATGATAATCATCTGTCCATACCAACTGAGGCAACTGGTTGTTCTGTGAAATAAGACCTATAGTATTTTCTACATTGTATCTCTTTCAACTATCTTTCAACTAAAGTACAATATTAGATAAATGAAACAACATTCATTCACCCTATATATTGACCAGAGGATCTGACTTTTAAACTAGTTCTATCACAGGTTTTCAAAGCTATAAGTGGGGTGAAGATGAAATATCTATTAATGATAATCAGGAAGCATCCTATATACATAAGAACAACACTGAAATCATTGTATTAATATAAATTCTCCCTTTTGCAGCCGATGTGGAGGAATCTACCTGCTATTTGGGCAGATCCTGCTCAGCATGTTTCAGGGGGTCCCCTCTACTGCTCTTTGAACAGGGAAGACAAATAGTAAAAGGTGAGAACCCATAATCCCTTGCTAGAAATATCTGTTTCTTCACTCACTCTCGATTTAGTTAGGTCAAGCATAAAATGGTGATGGCAAAGAAAATAATTTCCATGCCCTCTTGTTTACTAGGGCAGCTTTGTCAGACTTAAAGTTGGAGGATTGTCCTGATGGAAGCTGGTATAGATCTTTTCGTTGTATCTATAAGTGACAACATATCTAACTGATATTTTCATCTAAGCAATAATTGTAATGCAAGATCATCTTTTGATGAATCAAGTCCTGACATCGTCTGTACTGGTGTACAGTTTTTTTTTCATTTAAAGAAAATAAATCTTCTAGAAGTTAAAAACTGACTTGCATCCCATAGAATTGTCATCCCCTCTCTTCTATTTTTTTGCATCCAAGGCTACTGGACCATAAATATCTTTAGCAGTGATCTGAGGTTGGACATGTTCTATAACCACATTGTTCAACTTCACATTTCCACCTTTCAAGTCTGTTAGAACACTGTAGAGTTCTTTTGTATGTTGGCTCCTCACAAAGGGTTATTTGAGTTTGAGTGAAACAGTTGGTACCCATTTATGTGTATGTGATTTATCAATATTCTGTTCATAACAGTGTAAATATCATCTTTTCAACAAGTATTTATGAGATATCTACTGGCTTCTTCAGACTGTGCTGGACAATTTGGTATCTTGAGTAAAACTGAAGAACAAGAGGAGCAAAGACCCTGATTCCTGAAAGTATTGGACCACTTCTAGAAGTTGAAAAGACCCAGTGTCATTTTATTTACATATTATGCAGAAGATGCCGTGTGTGCCTATACGGATGAGTGAGTCTGCATATGTGTGTGTATGTGAACAGACAGAAAGGCAAATTCCAAAGGCTTTGTAAAGTCATTATTTTTATCTGAAATTGGCTCATAAGTTCAGCGTTAGTGCCACAGAACAAGGTGATTCCAGCTACACACCTCTAGGTGTGCCTGCTGTTTCTATCAAAGCTACTTTCTCTACTAGGAGCTGGTTCCATAGTAAGTGGATAGTTCCTGGTCTCTACCTTATGAAGGACAGGACAGGAAGAACCAAACAATGGTCAATGAACACAACCTGATCTGATGCTTATGTTAATACAGCCAGAAGGCAGATGATAGTTTAAACATTGTTTTGGTAGGTTGGATTTTTTTTCTTAGAACATGTTTGTAATGCATAATTTTATATTCCTTGTCAGAAATTGGTACACATAGATAATAAATCTTATTTTAAATTTAACTTAAAATTAGTAGAAGAATAAAATATCATGAAATATGAAAAATATATAAAATTTAAATTGTGTTGGACTTAAAGTTTTATTGGAACACAGTTATATACATTTACTTAAGTACTGTATATGATTGTTTTTGTGCTACAGTAGCAGACCATAGTTTTTACCATATTTGGTCCACAATTCTAAACTATTTACTAAAATAATTGGCCAACCATTGGTGCAAAGAATTTCAGAGATGGTCTCTGCTTCTACTGAAATGGTACTTGTGTGACCAAGAATGCAGAAGCTCACTGGGAGGAGGGCAGGAGTGGGGACGAATCACACTCTGATACTTCTCTATTGGACAGGGTTTCTTCAGTGTGCCCTATTTTATAAGAGCAGTGGTTCTGTTACCATACAGTATGTGTAATCTTTGGAAAACAGAGTTTATGTGTACATTTCTCTTCATGAAATCACAGATGAGTTTGGAGATGTTAAGATAATAAATCAAAGTCTGTTGTTTGGAAGTTGTACTTTATTAGAAACAAGTTGGGAAGCTAATTGGTATCTGTGTAGAAAGAAAGAAACTAATTGGATTCCATTTCATTAAAGTCTGTATGGCTGCTGCAAAAATAGAAGGTTGTAGTGGGGCAACCCACACTTACACTCAGAGCTGAAATGATTTCACTTCTTCAGAAAATGGAAAAAATCCTATTTTGCTTTTCTGTGGTTTTTGTTTGTTTGTTTGTTTGTTTTTTGAGACAAGGTCTCACTATGTAGTTGAGACTGACCCGGAACTCAGTATGTAACTCAGGCTGGTCTCGAACTCACAGCAATCCTCCTGCATCAGCCACCAGAGTGCTGGGATTACAGGCATGCGCCGTCAAGCCTGGCTAAGAAATCCAGTTTTGTGAATGTGTGTGTGTGTGTGTGTGTGTGTGTGTGTGTGTTTTATTACATACATTCAGAGTATTGTATATGTTGAAAAGTTGAATTCTGACCAATCAGTACTATTCTTAAACCCATAATGAAAATGTAAATGGAAGAAAAGAATCAATTTTACATATTTTAAAGCAGTTATTGATGCTGATGTGTTTCTATGTGCTTTATTTCCCATGATTATTTAACTATGAATCAGAGTCCCATCTTATGTATTGTACCATTCATCAAATGTTGTACTTTTACAGCTCACAGACACATGAAAAGCTTCCACAGCCCCAGCAACTCCAGCACCATCACCGGCTTCATCCTCCTGGGCTTCCCCTGCCCCCGGGAGGGGCAGATCCTCCTCTTTGTGCTCTTCTCTGTTGTCTACCTCCTCACCCTCATGGGCAATGCTTCCATCATCTGTGCCGTGCACTGGGATCTGAGACTGCACACGCCCATGTACATCCTGCTGGCCAACTTCTCCTTCCTGGAGATCTGGTACGTCACTTCCACAGTCCCCAACATGTTGGCCAACTTCCTCTCTGACACCAAGGTCATCTCCTTCTCTGGGTGCTTTCTCCAGTTCTACTTCTTCTTCTCCTTGGGTTGCACTGAATGCTTTTTCCTCGCGGTTATGGCCTTTGATCGGTTCCTTGCCATCTGCAGGCCTCTACACTATCCGTTCATGATGACCAGACGTCTCTGCACCAATCTTGTGTTAGGCTGCTGGATACTTGGTTTCCTGTGGTTCTTGATTCCCATCATCATCGTCTCCCAAATGTCCTTTTGTGGGTCCAGGATAATTGATCACTTCCTGTGTGACCCAGGTCCTCTGTTAGCCCTGACTTGCAGAAAATCTGTGGTGATAGAGTTTGTCATCTCCACCTTATCTGCTGTAGCAGTTGTTATTCTCTTGCTTTACATCATGGGGACTTATGCTTTGATTTTAAAAGCTGTACTGAAAGTCCCTTCAGCAGCTGGTAAAAGAAAGGCTTTTAACACCTGCGGGTCTCACATGGCAGTGGTTTCCCTATTCTATGGCTCAGTACTAGTGATGTATGGGAGCCCAACATCTGGGCATAAAGCTGGGATGCAGAAGATTGTGACTCTCTTTTATTCTGTTTTGACCCCTCTCCTTAACCCTGTGATATATAGTTTTAGGAACAAAGATATGAAAAAAGCCCTCCAGAAATTTCTAGGAACATCAAAATGATTAAGTCAAAATGCTTGTTAATTAAATTGTATTTAACTTATTTTTAGGATGTTTTGTCATTAAAGACTACTTTATTGGTACTTCTATGTAAATGAAATTATGAAAATACTAAGGGAAGTGTACTTATAGCCCTTGGAACTCCCTCAAGAATACAAAAGAAAAAAAATCAGAGATTAAAATTGAATACTTAAAAACTTTAAATAACCCATGAATTTTATGGTAAATTTCCTTTAGCCAAAGGGAGGAACATTTATCTGTCTGTTGGGGGTCTTTGTAGAAATGACTGCCAAAATCTTGGAGGACCCAGCATGTCAGATATTTTAAAAACTAGTTTTGTGACCAGTGTGGTGACACACACTTATCCAGTCTCCGGATGATGGCAAGTGGGCTCTTTCCAAGATTTTACTATTACACACTGTGCCACTATGAGCATGGGTGAACATGTAGCACTGTGTTATGATTCTTTTAATTCTTTTGGAAAGATACCCAGAAGGAGAGCTGGATCAAACAGAACCTCTAATCTGTTCTCTGAGGTACCTCCATATTGATATCTATAGAGGTTGCACCAGTCTGCACTCCCATCAACAATTGAGATGGGTTCCTTTTTCCCCACAACCCCACCAACATGTGTTATTCATTGATTCCTTGGAAGCAGCCATTCTTTCTGGGGTGAGGTGGAATCTCAGTGTAGTTTTCATCTGCATCTCTCGAATGACCAGTGATGTTCAACATTTTTTCATATATTTATTTGCTGCTTTTACTTCTTTGTCTGAGAAATGTCTGTTCATTTCAGATGCCTATTTTTTTTTATTGAGTTTATTGGTACATTTAGGGATACAGTACAGTTACATTCATTGTTGGGATCATGTACCTTTACATGGCAAGTCTTGATTCTCATTTTTTCCCCTTACCTCTGCCCTCCCTTCACCCCCTCCTCCCCTCCCCATCTACAAACACTTTATTTTCATCTTTTCATTCTCTCACATTTTTTTCTTTTCCCTTTTTTTATTTTTGAATTGGGTCTTTATATTTGGGGGCCCTGATTTCTTTGAGTTTTTTTATGTATTCTAGATAATAATCCTTTGTCTGAAGAACAGCTGGTAAAAATTTTTCCCACATTGTAGGTTGTCTCTTAGCTTTGTTGGTGGTTTCTTATGCATTGTGAAGCTTTTTAATGAAATGAGATCCCAGTTGTTAATTCTTTGTGCTAGGTCCCATGCTACTGAGGATTTCTTTATGAAGTCTTTTCCTATGCCAATATCTTCCAAAGTTCTGCCTAACCTATCTTCCAACAAGTTTAGTGTTTCTGTTTTAATATTTAAATCTTTAATGCACTTGGATTTTAGTTTAGTGCATGGTGAAAGATAAGATTCTACTTTTAATCTTTCACAGGTTGAAATCCAGTTACTCCAACAGCATTTATTAAAGAGGCTGTCTTTCCTCCAGTGAGGATATTTGGCTCCTTTTTCAAAGATGAGTTACCTGAATATGTCAGCAGTTGTTTTTGCATCTTCTAATCTGTTTCCCTGATTCTCAGGTCTTTTTCTTTGCCTGTATCATGCTATTTTTATCACAGTAGCTTTGTAATATAGTTTCAAGTTGGGGATTGTGATATCCTCTGCTATGTCTCTGTTTCCTAGAATTGCTTTTGCTATTCTAGGTCTCTTCTGATTCCAAATGAATTTTTGGATTATTTTCTCTAGTTCTGTGAAATATACTGTTGGAATTTCAATTGGGATTGCATTGAATATATATAGCAGTGTTAGTAGTATTACCATTTTCACTAAGTTTATTCTTCCTACCCAGGAGCAGAGGATCTTTCCATTTTCTTTCTTTTTTTTTTTTTTTTTTTTTTTTTTTTTTATGCTTGTGAGGCAGGCAGTGGAACCACTGAGCTAAATCCCCAGCTCTCCATTTTCTTATATTCTCTTTGATCTCCTTTTTTCAGAGGGCTGTAGTTTTCAGTGTCAAGGTCTTTTGCTTCTTTTGTTAGATTGATTCCTAGATTCTTTTTTTTTTTCCTTTGGATGCTATTGTGAAAGCAATTTTTTCCCTAAGTGAGTCTGTTATTTGTGTACAAAACGGCTATTGATTTTTGAGTGTTTACTTTGTATCTGACTACTCTACTGAATCTGTCAATTAAGTCTAGAACTTTTGTGGCAGAATTTTTTGGATCATCTATATAAAGTATCATATCATCAGCAAATAATGACAGTTTTAACATCTTCCTATTTTATTGCTTTAATTTCTTTCTCATGTCTAATTGCTATGTCTAATATTTCCAGAACTACAATGACCTGGAGTGGTGATAGTGTACATCCTTGTCTTGTTCCTGACTTTAGCATGAAGGTTTTCAGTTTTGGGCCATTTAATACGATGTTGGCTGATGGTTTTTAATAGATAGCCTTTACCAAGTTGAGATAAAGTACATCTATTCCAGTTTTCTACATGCTTTTTATCATGAATAGTTGTTGAACTTTGTCAAATGCTTTTTCTACATCTATTAAGACAATCACATTTTTTTGTCTTTGACTCAGTTAATATATTGTATTACCTTTATTGATTTACATATGTTGAACCATCCTTTCACCTCTGGAAAAAATCTGACTTGGTCAGGGTATATGATCTTCTTGATGAACATTGGTGTTCTCTTTGCCAGTATCTTATTGACGATTTTTGCACCTATGTTCACTAGGAAGATTGACCTGTAGTTCTATTTTTTGGTTAGGTTTTTCCCCTGTTTTGAAATCAAAGTAACAATTGCTTCCAGGAATGAATTGAGAAGTATTGCTTCCCTTTTGATTCCATTGAAGAGTTTAAAGAGTAATGGCAGTTTTTCTCTAAGTGTTTTGTTGAGTTCAGCACTGAGGCCATTAGGCTGGGGCTTTTCTTAATTGGTAAATTTTTAATTACATTTTCAATTTCAATGGATGTAATTGGGGTGTTTAGAATTTTTTATCTTTTTTGTTGAACTTTGATAATTCATAAATATCAAGAAGCCTGTCCATTTCTTCTGTTTTCCATTTTATTATAGTACAGGTTCTCAAAGTAGGTATGGATGATCCCCTGGAATTCTGCTGGATCTGTTGTGACTTCACCTTTTACCTTCCTGATTGCATGAATCTGAGGCTTTTCTTTCCCTTTTTGACAATGTTGGCTAAGGATTTATTGATTTTATTTATTCTTTTGAAAAAACCAACTCTCATATTCATTGATTTTTTTTTATATCCTTCTCTTAGTTTCCATTGCACAGATTTCTGTTCTTATCTTTATAATTTCCTCCCTTGTATGAGCTTCAGGTTTTTCTTGCTCTTCTTTATCTAAGAGCCAAAAATTCATCATTAGGTTGTTTATTTGAGCTTGCTCTGTATTTCTTGTGTGAGCATTCACTGCTATGAATTTTTCACATTCAACTGCTTTCATTGTGTCCCACAGATTCCTCTATGTTGTACTGGCATTATCATATATTTGTAAAAACTTTGCTTCTTTCATTTCCTCTGTGACCCATTGATTGTTCAGGAGTGTTGTTCAATTTCCATGTGTTTGTTAAGTTCTTACAGTTTCTTGATCTCCAGCTTAATTGCACTATGATCTGATAATATACATGGGATGACTTTGATTCCTTGCATCCATTTAAAAATGTTCTATGAGCTAGTATGTGGTCTATTTTGGAAAATGACCTATGTGCAGCTGAAAAGAATACATATTCTGATTTTGTTAGGTGGAATACTCTGTAGACATCTATTAAGTCCATTTCTTCAAAGACTTAGCTATGTTCTAGTGTTTTGATGTTGATTTTTTGTCTAGATGATCTGTCTATTTGTGATAGTGGAGTATTAAAATCCCCCACTACAACTGTATTAGTGCTTATTTGGTTTTTCATGTCCCTTAATGTTTGTTTTATATACTTGGGGAATTGATATTTGGTGTATGTATATTTATGATTGTCATCTCATCCTCTTGGATTATTCCCTTTACAAGGATGTAGTGGCCTTCTTTGTCTCTCTTAATTGGTTTTGGTTTGAAATTTACTTTGCAAATAAGATAGCTACCCTTGCTTTTTTCTGGGCTCCTGTCACATGGAGAACTATTTTCCATCCTTTCTCTTTCAGTATATGAGTTTCTTTTTTAACTAGGTGTGTTTCTTCTATGCAACATATTGTTGGATTGTGCTTCTTAATCCATTCTGATTGGTGAATTAAAGCCATTAACATTGATAGTCAGAACTGGTATGTATAGACTTATCATTGTCATGTTATTGTCCTGTTGGCTCTTTTTAATTTTACCCCTCTCCCTTTAGTTTCTTGCTTTGCCTTATTGATTTGCTCTATTGGGCCTCATGGTATTGTGACCTTCACTGTCTTTTTCTAGGATATTATTTGAAACTGTTTGGAGTGCTGGTTTGGTATTCATGAAGCTTCTCAGGTGGTGTTTGTCATGGAGATATCTTATTTCTCCATCTATTTTAAAAGAGAGTTTTGCAGGATACATCAATCTAGGTTGGAAGTTATTTTGTCTTAGGCCTTGAAATAATTCACTCTGTGCTCTCCTTGACCTGAGGATTTGTGTTGAAAAGTCTGCTGTGATTCTGATGGGCTTGAATTTGCATGTGATTTGTTTCTTTTCTGTAACTGCTTGCAGTATTTTGTCCTTCTGTTGGTTTATGGGATCTTGACTGTTATTTGTCTAGGTGTAGATATTTTGTGATCATGGCTAGTTGGTGTCCTATATGCCTCACTTATCTATATATCAAATTCTTCCCTTCTATTCGAGAAGTTTTCTGTCACTAATTCTGTGAACATTTTTTTAGTCATTTGTACTATCTCCTGCTATTTCATGGATTCCTATCAGTCTTATGTTATTCTTTGCATCATCTAGGAGTTGTATCTATTTCTCATGATCCTTTACTGTTTTTAAGAGATCTTTATTTTCATGGTCACTGACTGCAATCCTATCTTCTATATCTGAAATTATATCTTCACTTTCATTCTGCTGTGAAT